GCGGCCCCCCAACCCCCGCCCGGGCGCCAGCCCCTCACCGAAATTGTGGCGGGCAAAGCCTAATCCCGCGGCTGCCCGGAGCCAGGTGCCAGCCAGTGCGCCTGCGCGCAGGCCTCCAGCAGCTTCTCCAGCCTCTTCTTCCGCTCCTGCCCAGCGATTGGCTCCGCGTGGTGCTCGCGTCCGAGGATGCCGCCGCCATATTTGTTACGGGCGCTTGCCCTTAGGGACCAAAAAGAGGACGTGGGCGCCAGCAAAAAACGAGCAGATTGTCTGTATTCCTGGCCGGTTCACCCCCTCCCTCTCACTTCCTCGAAGGCTTAATGTCATTTTAGTTCAAATCAACTAGGTTTTTCTGAGCGCTTCCCATCCTCTCCCCCGTCCTTTTTTTTTTTGCCTGTCGTGCGGCTGGTGGGATCTTAATTAACCCACCAGGGATCGAATCTGCACCCACTGCAGTGGAAGCCAGGAGTCTTAACCACTAGAGCTCCGGGGAAGTCCCCCACCCCTACTATTAATTCGGAAAATGAAGAGAGCTCAGCACCTTCCTTCAAGCCCCGTGGTGTGACTGGATGCACAGCTGAGACAGGTAGGAAGATGACAGTGGCACGACCTGGGACTCCCTGATGCTGGATTGTGAGCTCCTCAAGAGTGGACAGGCCCAGCTTGAGCTGTGGGCACCAGGGTTCAGGCCACAGGCACCAGGCCCTGAGAGAGCAACCAAGCAGCCCAACCTCTTATTATTATTATTATTATTATTATTATTATTATCTTTTTTTTTTTTGGTTTCACCAGGTGTTAGTTGCAGCACGTGGGCTCCTTAGTTGTGGCATGTGAGCTCTTAGTTGCGGCATGCATGTAGGATCTAGTTCCCTGACCAGGGATCAAACCCGGGCCCCCTGCCTTGGGAGCTCAGAGTCTTATCCACTGCGCCACCAGGGAAGTCCCAACCTCCTCATATTAATAGTAATAGTAAAATATAAGGCTACGGAGGTCTTACAATGTGCCCTGTGCTGTGTTAAGCACTCTACATGCATTATCTTTTTTTTTTTTTTTTTTTTTTTTCCTTGCGTTATGCGGGCCTCTCACTGTTGTGGCCTCTCCCATTTGCGGAGCACAGGCTCCGGACGCGCAGGCTCA